TCAAAGATGGACTATAAAAAACACCCAGAAGAACTTTAGTGTCTTTACAAGGTACTTCAATAAACAGATGTTCAGCCGACATAGTGTAACTATTGGGTGATCGATCTACAATTTTATAACTTATTTGTTCTCTGAGGTAGATTGCAACACCTCCACAACCTTTGTCTACCCTGTCGTTACGTATAAGTGTATATTCCGGCAGATCAACTTCATCCGAATTAGTAGTGGGCTTCAAAAAAGTTTCCGAAACTAATATGGCATCTATGCTATTGGAATTAAATGTGGATAGCATTTGCATGTAATGAGCAGATATACTTTGACAATTAACGTGAACTACATTCAAATTACTTTGAACGCAAGAAAATACTTCACGAAGTTCATCGCCTGAGGTGATTATTATTTTGCTGTTACTCACGATATAAAGATTGGTATTTTCCTCTCCTTCTTTTACCACATCAGCAATTTGTGCTTTTTCCATTATCAGAATAAGCTTAGCAGACATGTACTTATTCTAAGCTGTTTATACTATATGATTCAATTTTCTTAGTGACTTCTTGGTAAATGTTTTTTTTTTAAATTGAATTTTGTTCGAAGTTCTTGAATTCAAAATTCTTCTATCAAATTTTGTCAATAGACAACTTCTTATGTTAATTAATTTTTCCCTCGTGGTATCTGTAAATAAGAAAATAAAAAAAGACGGTATACTTATATATCTTCTTAAAGTAAAGTAACAGCCTATACATGTCCCACTGCTGGGCAAAGGCCTCCTCTATACAGAGGGTATCAGGACATAGTCCACCACGCGGTCCCACTGCGGATTGGCGAACTTCACATATCTTCGAAATATATTTTTTTTGTTATTATTTCGAAAATATGCAGGTTTCCTCACGATGCTTTCCTTCACCGCGGAGCACGTGAGTCAGCAATTAAAGTTAAAAAATTTACTTCATTCGTGCCGGCACCGGGGATCGAACTCAGGTTGCTCGAGTATATTGAATTAAAGGCGAGCGCCCGGACACTGAGCTATCACGGCTCTTATATATTTTCTTGCTCTTTTAAAAATACATTTTAAAGTAAGCTGTGTCTTAAGGTGAATTACATACGTAATTTACTTATAAATACATGCGTGTCCCGCGAAAATCAAACGCATGACCTGCTACCTTGAAGACATTTTAAAACTGCCCAATTCATCGTTCCATTCTATGTGTATTTTTTGCGACCTTTTTTGTTTATTATATTCAAATCATAACATCAATAATTAATAAACTCACATTTAAATTTCATCTTGAGTGCATATAGGCACTAAAAATAAATAGAAATCCTAAACATCAATTATTTTAGTTTATTCAAATCAAATGTCTCAAAACTAAAAATAATTGCCAAAGATGATGAAGAATTATTATCAATGTGTGTTTTATAATACAAACGGATAGTATACTTGAATGTGTTATGTAGAAACGTCAAAACTATTTACTGAGCCGTGATATCGCAATTCGAAGTTGCGAAAGATAATAATATCAATATCAGAACCTACAACCTCTACAACGCACTATAGTGGAAATAGAATTTAGTTTCGATGTCCAAGTGTTAATGTGCAACTTAAATTTTTGACTTTTTGTTCGAAACATAATGTGTGATTATTTATTGAATATTAAGGTATATAGCGATAATTCGGGGCACTTCATCATTATCTTTAGATTGAATAATTAAGTGAAAAATAGATAACCATTTGTGTACAGTGACTTCAATTCAACGAGTTTCGTCTTTGTAGTTACAATAATTCTGTGTTCTTTATTAGTAATATGGTCAAAAGACATGTTAGCTATTGACCGATATTTATTGGAATATCGCGTATGGATGGGTGTTATAAAACGAAGATTCTAGAAACGGTGGGTGCTTTGTATGTTTCATTGTTGTAGTTTATCGCCTCTTATATAGCAATTTCCGAAATGGCTACCATACGTAAAATTTTATTTTCATTATAGATATCATTTATATAGAAATTTAGTAGTCTAATAATTAATCATCATTTAAAATGTACAAAGAAAATGTTATCATAAAATCAACCGCCATCTTGAGAAACGTGTGCACGAAAATAACATATGTAATGGTCCAGCTAATAATAACTTGAATTAAAAATTGTTTTTATAATTAATTTAATAATACTTAAATATGTATGTTTTGAAGTTGTAAAATAGTTTGTGATTTCGGTTAAAAAATGTGAAAAACAATTATGTTTTGTAAATTCAATTATTTTAGCGGCTTTATCATGTAATATTCAAATTGATTTTCATCATACGAGCATCAGTTTGCAAATCTCGTATAAAATCGATCATTACGTTCATTAACTTACGAAAAATTTTAAACGTCTTTTTACATAAAACAATAATCACTGACGTATTCATTCTTTAATGCTTAACTCAACAATAATAAAGACTTATCTTGTAAAAATATTTTATGATAGATTTTAGATTCTATACCAAGTGGCAATAATTTGAAATATTTTAGACGCAAAATTCATTCATAAAATTTTAGCTTGTGTTTTGACAATATCGTTATATATTTACCAATAAGAATACACAAATCCACTTGTTGTTATTACGTGCACGCTGCGCCAAATGACATATGAAATTAAGTGAAAGTTACAGGTTACAGGTATATTTATTACGTCGTTTCGCATTTGATACTGAAACTTGATGATGCGATAAACGTACATGTCAAGTATTTGAGCTATATTCTTTCAATGCTGATTTATATTAGTGCACAAGTAACCTTTAATTTCAAAATTTAATCATGTTTTTAGATATTTAAATTAAGCGAGCGGACTGTAAATGATTACAATAAATATAAAAAATGTCCTGTTTTTTTTCCCTTTCTTTTTCGTGTGATTGTAGTTTTCATCAATTTGTACTAACTTTTAAAAAATTTCTTCTCTTTGTGTATACTCATTTTGAACCATCTTGTTTTTTTCCAAGTTACATGTTGCTAATCGCATCTTAAGGTAGTTACGAGTATGTATCCGTTAAGGTTAAGTAAAGTTAATTTTTAAGTAAAATGTATTTCGAATGCTATAATGCAAAATATAAGAATGCATAATAAATCTATACTTCACATAATAAATCTATACTTTCACATGCTAATATTATTTCCATTAATTGATAGCTAATAACCCAAGAACTTTATTTTATACGCGTAGTATCATACGCAATTAGACAAAGAAAGTGTGTACATTAGAGTGAAATTAGTGACTAAATTCTTATTCTCATTCCTCTTCAAAAAAGTCCTTATTCCATTCCTCTTCAAAAAAGAGCTGTCCGAGCAATCTACAATATCGGAGCCCGGAATTCACTCAGAGATCTTTTCAAAGAGGTTAATATACTCACTGTTGCTTCTCAATACATTTATTGTAATGTTTTGTATATACGTCATAACCTTAATTATTACCTAAAGAATAGTGACAGACATAAAATAAACACTAGAAATAAGGACAAACTTACTACGCCATTGTTTCGTCTACAAAAAGTAAATAAGTCGTTCATGGGGCAGTGTACGCATGTATAATAAAATCCCACAGTCGATATTAAGTCTGCCGCTTGACCAATTTAAATGTAAAATTAAAAATCAACTGATGATGATTAAAGCATATTATACCATTTCGGAATATCTCGACGACGCCAATGTGTGGAGTTAATACTGTTGATACTCACGTAGGCTAGAATAAGACTATTATACCTGTATATTATATTGTACCCTGATATTTTTGAAAAGAGCAACTGTTGAGTTTCTTGCCGGTCTCTTCTCAACAGAAACCGCTTTCCGAACCGGTGGTACCTTACGAACCTATACACATAATCTTTGATGTAAAATTTGACGATTCATAAGAGCGCGCAAGCGTCTATTTGAATAAATATATTTTGATTTTGAATTTTTTTGATTTTATTACATGGCTGGCCTGAAAATCTTCTTGTAATCAAACACGATGACCACGAGTACACTCAGTATACATATTTACATTTCGTATGTTTGTATGTGCAGACATAATATTCCATTTTTTATGGGAGAAGGTGGCAAGCGAGCTGGCGGTTCACCCGATGTTAAGTGATAAACGCCGCCCATGGACATTTGAATCACCCGGCAGCCTCACTCATCAGAGGAAACGCAGAGGTATAACACTTCCATTTACGCCGGTCTTCTGGGTCGTGGTACTTACCCGGACAGACCTGTCCATTCGTGGAACAGCCGAAGCTGTTGCGTGGCCCTACCACAGTTATGTGACTTGTTTATTCTTGCAGTAAATGCTATAGTATGGCGTTAGTGCGAACCAGCATGAATATCTCAACGAAGAGCATTCTACGAAAACGTATCTTACATAGTGATGATGAGTCCAAGCCTTACTACCAAGTTGACATCCTTCTAATACGACGAATCTTGGACGTGTGGTATAAGAAATCAGTTGAATAATGTAGCGTTATATTGGAGGACTTGCCTAGTTCATGGAATAATTTATCTGTGAGTGAAGTTTGTCTGTGTATGTTTTATATACCTAGTGTTTTAATTTTTTTTATGTAAATTTCTGCAAACTCGTATAACTGTGATTCTGCAAAAATGTTTGAACATTTCTTTGATTTTAAGTTATTTGAGGCCTAGAAGTTATTGTTATAAATCTGATTATTATTATGTTTCAGTCTTAATTAGTAATAACCAAGTTTTTCTTTATTTCACTAAAGTGTAGATAAATGCTATAAATAATATATAAATTGATTAGCATCAAACTGTGGGTCTCTATCTGCAGTTATATAGTACATGCAGTTTCATAGTAAATTTTTTATAAATTATTATAGTATTCTACTAATATATTTGGATAAAATTTAAGCTATATTCAACTGATGATTAAATATATGTGATTTATCGTGGTTTCAGGTGCCTAGTTAACACATTTTTAATATGGTAGAGCTAAGGAACAAATTTATGTTGGATGAATTGGCTTGCTTGTCCTGACTATGACTGCACTAGACCTGCGTGTAGGAGTAATAAATGTACAACTACGTTTTATTAGGTAAGTATGTTAAATCTAGGTCAATACTCCTTACACTCCATGGATGGCGGTAGGAACAACGCCCTATTCTACTTCCTCACTAAATTTGCAGATACCATGAAAATGGTTATTTATATATTACTTACCACAAAATGAACCACCTGCTCATTTGCCACATTCTCTTGTAAAAAGTAAAAACATTCAATGGAAATTGAAAAGTTCATAATGATCATGCTGCTTTTTTTTTGTGACCTGTTTAGTCAGAACATTATTAGAACATATTAGAACATTATGTCTAATAATTTAAACAAAATGTGATTAAAATACGTAACAATAGCTGAATTAAATATTTTTTTTAATAATAATGTTTGTTTATTACGTTAAATATTTTTTTACATTTATCATATTCAGTGGATGAAGTCCCCTAGTAAGCATAAAATGCCTGTGACAGGTGTCTTTGCTCTTCCATAGCTGATTATACTGGGAGGCTTTTTTAAGTGTATCCATTTTTTAAAATTAAATTTTAGACATAAACAATGTTATATAAAAATGATAAATATTTAAAATAACTCGTAATTAATTAATTACATTCATTTTAACTTATCTCAAAAAGTGCGTGATTTATGGGCAACTTATTTAATTTACGCGCGATCATTCATAACTAACACGCACACAAGTTCGGTTCAAAAGTATACGATGCATTTATGAATGAATACTGCATTGTCAACAAGTTCTGTTTTTTCGGGAATAGAATGGCAATTTAAAAAAAAGTTTGTTTTTATTTCAATAAACGATTATACTACCGAGTCTGAACCTCCTGTGTGAATTTGAGCATCTTTAGAAAAGCCACCCTGTATAATTTGCAACTCACAAAAAAATAAAAATAAATGTAAACGAAATATAAAGAGCATATTATACATATATAACTATAAGTCACCGTTTTGTATTTGCAGTGTTCGCGTAAATACTAGAAATTATTATGTTTATCTTAGTTCTACAACATATTAGTTATTATTTTTCAGTACTTCAGTTACAAATAATTGGCAAGTAAATATTAGGCTACAAAGTTTACTAATACTAGAACTACAAGTAAATTATAATTTTCTTAATCAAATACTAAGAAATATTTGTAACTATAAAAAATAAAATAAATTACAATTGTTAATATTTTTACTGATAAGTAAAGCCGTGTTTATAAAATTGAATGCACATTTGTCTTTAATTTTTCCTTGAGATCTCTAATTTGTACATAGGTGGTTGTTATATGTGAATAAAGTAAGTGTTTAAACGTCACAGTTAGTTGTTAACATTATAAAAACAAGTTCAATTTTTTATTAACGAAAAACAAAACCGACTTCAAATACCTCGCTCTGTATTCATTTTATAATTGATTTTCAGGAGTTCCCTAAGTATCTCCGGAGCCCAAGATCCAATTAAATTAATATGGCACATGGGAAGCACCAGCTTTCAAATAAAAAAAGAATAATCAAAATCGGTTGACTCAGTCGAAAGTTCTGAGGTAACAAACATAAAATTAAAATTGAGAATCTCCTTCTTCTTTGAAGTCGGCTAAAAAAGTAAAAAATCTTTGCTTGCGTGTAAGGTTACTACTATAAAAATTTTAAATATTTATTTTTGCTTATGCATAAGGTCAATATTTGAAACTTTATATAATTTACATTTTATTATTTAAAAAAAAGCTTTAGTTATAAAAGCTTAATGAACTAATTGGAAGGAAAAGTTTATAACATGTGGTAGGGCTACGTAGCTTGCTGGTAGTTGTTTGTTACTGTGGCATCATTTTTTGCTGTTGCACGAATGGGGAGAATCGTCCGGGGAAGTATCACGGGCTTGGAGTAGGCCGAACTTACATCAATTAGAAGTGGACGTATATTTCTGCGTTTCCTCTGGTGGGTGAGCTAACTGGGGCCCACTTTATGTACAGCTGGCAATGCATCTGCAATCCTACGGGCGTCTCAGATGTTCGCGGTTAGTTATCAGTTAACATCACGTGAACTGCAAGCTCTCGTGGCACCCTCTTATATAAAAAAGTAAAAATTAATCGGTGCCGTACATTCGTAATTTTCTGTCAATATAAAAATAAAATAAAAGTGTAAAACAAAATATTGCCACATCGACAAAAATCTCAACGTATTTTAATAACATTGTTTTAAGCAATCCTTGTTCATCTATTGTTATGCCCTTTATAGCACACAAACAATTTCAAATATCGTTTTACAACGATAATCCGAACGGGAGATTTCGCCATTGAATTTCGCTATTTGAAAATAAAATTTTTACACTGCTAATCACGAAAAATTAAAATTGTGCTGAAAATTCTTATAATATGTGTGCTGTAAGGTGTTACATTCATTACTCGATCATGTTATTATCATGGTAATCACAGAATTTCATGGTAATGTTTTAACTTTTCAGATCTATACTCAAAAAGTCATACGAGCGACAAGTTTCCTTAAATTCTGGAAAGCAGAACGCCGGACGCCAGAAGAAACCAAAGGCAACTAAAAAAAATATGATGAAAGTTGTGATCATTTACCAAATGATTAGGTACAATATATAAAATTTAGAATCGAAATGCATGTAAATATGCGACAATGAAATAAATCTTATTTTTAAAAGTATTGGTAAATATGGGTTCGGGTGTCAGTGTACAGGTGTCCCACGCGTTCAGCTATAATAAGAAATATCAATCAAATAATTTGTCCACCGTAACTTTATTTATACATTTATGCATACATGTAAATAATTTGTGACTTTAAAATAAATGCTTTTTTCTAAGTTAACATTCGCATGTTACTAAAACCTAAAATCGTTTTTTTTTGTATCTCCATCTTTTTATTTTTTTGTGTTTTTCTACGAAATAGCTAAACAAAAACTTTTATTTAAAAAAAATTGAGTGCTAATCTTTGTAATTAAGATAAACGACTTTAATTATTCGTAGACGAATACTTTTTATCTTAATATATTGACTGTTCCTGTATAAATATAGAAGAAATGTACAAAATTTAAGACGTTTAGTACATAAGTGCAGTTGAATAGTTTACCAGCGCCAGTTTACCCGTCCGATTATAATGAGTGTTTTCAAGGCAAAAGTAAATAGGACGTAATTACGGTCTTCCATTTACTCGTACATGGTTAGTAACATGAAATCTTTGTCGTTTTTGGGTAAACGAACGAATAAAATAAAAAATGTATATACAGAAACATTTATTCAAAAGCCTTTAAACAAGAGCTTGGATCATTATTTTAATTAAAATAATTAAATAGAAAGCTGGTTAATCATTTAAATTGTTAAACATTTATTCATTTATTGATACGGAAACAAAGTAATCGCTTGTATTTATAAATTTATAAACGTATTCGTAGGTCTGTTTAGCGAAGGTAACAAGTTTCCTGCAAACAAGTTTCCCGTCCAGCTTGAAATTTCCAGCGCTGCTGTAAATAAAAGGCGTTTAAAGGTATACTCTAGAAATTTGAGAAATATCAAAATTAAACGAGCGCGCTCAAAATTAGTACCAAAAGAAAACACCTCTGCATAATGTTAGTACTGCTTGGCAATTGCCAAGATTTTGGATTATTTAATCAAGGACAGAATAAAAATGTAGCAATAAAATCTTTATATATTATCTAATATGGTGATTACGTATTAACTTACCAGTTTGATGTGCGTATGTAATAACATCTTATATTTTTTTCATTCACCAAATTTTAACCAGTAAACAGCCCAAGAAAACCAAATATAACAATTCCATGCCTCGGTAAATCAATGTTTATGTTACCAATCTCACTAATATACATTTTTAAATTTAGACGCCAGTACGAGCAAAAATTGTTAAATCTGTGAATAATATTATATTATGAACATAATGGTTAAGAAATAATAATTAAAATTATTTTGGAGAAAATATTTTCTTTGCATTTTTATCATCATTTCTTTGCGTTTCTTATGCATTTTTATCCGCTGCCAGAATTAAAAAAAAATACTTTTAATTATAATACCGAAAATATTAGAGAAACTTAATAATTTCACAATCATTTGAATTGGCTAGAGTGTGATAATGAATGGACGTTTAAAAATGCTTTGTAAACTGTTTATTATGACACCATTGACTAGGCTGAGATATGGCGTAATGTTTTGTCCACTTGTAAAGGTTTAGCATTCAAAGCTCAAAACATAAAAAGCAAAAAAGCTGAGCTCAACTCAGCTTTTTCTTCGCCCCTCCATTCTATTAGGCCACGGAAACGCATAGGAATAACTGCACGTATAGGTATGTATACCTAATAGCGCATTGTATTGTTTTTATTCAGTTTTAAAAATATGAAGTTTAAGTATACATTAACTTGTAGATATATATTTTTTTTAGTAATGAAACTCTCATTTTGTTAAAATTAATTCTTTTCTTTATGTTCGAACAAAATTCATTTTACCTATAAAACTAATATCGCAAGATTAAGATTATTCAAATATTATTATAATTACACATGCTTACAAGCTGAAAAAAAGTTACTTCAAAATAAATCAATCAGATTTTAACGATGAAAACGATCACTGACAGGCAGTACTACTACATTATGTAACGACCTATTAATAATAATAAATATTATTAATATTTAGTCATAATAAAGATCAATTAAGATGAAAATAAAACGTTTAAGAACGTTTAATCACAATAAAAGTTAATAATATATACTTAAATTAAAGAAATATAAGTGTTAGTATGAGAAAATGACATTACCAAAAATTGATTAAAAATAGTTAAATTCATTTAAAATACTCAAAAAGGGGTATTTATTAAAAATATAGTAATATACGATCACTATTATGTCAATAAAATACAATTCCATACTTAGTGATTTTTAAGGTCAGAATTGTAAATGTAGCGTGCGGGGACACATTTGTATGACCGCACTTATGTAAGTACAGAGGTCGATCGCGACTCTTAGTACTATGGTGAAAGTACATTGTATGAACGTCCCATACTAATATCATATGGAAGTAAGATCTAATGGATAAAAGTAATAATATGTGAAGGCTCAGAGAAAAAATTATAAATATATAAATATAATGAAGAGCAATGAATTATGAATGGAAATGTCTTCAGTGGTGGACATATCATCGATAGCTGGTGGTAGTTGGCGTCTTAGTGACCATCACTATGATACGTTGACTGTCATTCGGCATAGTAAGAGTTTGGTGGTAGTTGGCGTCTTAGTATGTTAGACTGATCATCTGACTTTGGGGAGTCTGGTGGTGGCTTGCGTCTTAGTGTATTCCACTATGATACGTTGGCTATTGCTTGACTGGGGTGAGGGTCCATTGGTGGTTGGCGTCTTAGTGGTTACGCTATGATACGTCGACTATCATTCGGATCGTGAAAGAGTATGTTTGGACACTTCGTGTGTTCCGAGTATATTCTAAACTTTGGAGCCGAAGTTGATTGGAGTTATATTGGTGTGGTGTGAGGGTGTGTGTGACACCTACGCGATAGTCACATTGATGCATGCGGCTATATGCAGTACTGCGTCTTGTGGTAGTTGCGGGGTGATCTGCGCCTAATATCATTGCATCGTATGATTCTGGTTGACGGAGGTTCGAGGTGATGATGTCTGCTGTGTATGCGGATAGGCTGTATGTTGGCGTATTGACCTGCGATAGTTGTATTGATGCATGTTGCATTTAGTGACATTGCGTCTTACGACATTTGCTTGGGAGACTATGCTATTCATAATGGCCGAGTCTGCGTCTCGGTTTGATGCACATCTCAGTAGATTTGTCCAAGTCGGGTTCCTGATGACGGAACTGCAGACTGTCTGACCTCTTTATACGTTTTATCATTATTAACGAATCTCAGTAAAGTTCCCACCGTTCGAACGAATAATGGCAACTTGCTGGTGGGTGAGACAAACTTGATCGAAAATACATTATACTCAACGTCAGAGACACTGACAATTATCTGGCTTATACCACAACTAGTGAATATTTATCTATCCAAGATCCACCTAAAAGAATCAAGTTACTAAATAAACACAACGTAAATGAGGTCCTACCGAATATGACGATCACAATAATATTTATACGGCTAATTATTACTTTTAGAAAGATCCTATAGAAAGATCAATAAATTATCTTGGTCACGTAAAGATGCTATATGATTTATTCATATAACGGTGTAAAAATATATATAAGTTTAAATTACATATATGCATAAAGGGGGGTTCAGTTACAATTAGTTAAGTCAAACATCAAAAATCAAAAAAAAAATCAAATTCATCGACATATCGATAGTCATTTTTTTTTAATCTACCACCGTTTCGTAATAAGGTTCCTCTGGCGGAGAAGAAACAGGCGAAAGAAACTCCGTAGGTATCCTCTTTTTTGTAATAAATTTTTTTTCTTAAAAAACAAAATATTATACAACTTCAACAAGATTTTTTTTTCCTTTTAGAAATAGCTTGGGAGCGATCAACTCATTCCCAGGGGTTATTGTCATTAATGTATTCATTTGTATTATAATAACCCTTTTTATAAAGTTTTCTTTAATAAATTTCTTAAACCTGTTAATAGGCAGATTTTGCGCATTTACTGGGATTTTGTTGTAAAAGCGTATACACCGCCCCATGAACGAGTTACTTACTCTATGGAGTCTAGTAACTGGCGTTACAAGCTTGTGTTTGTTCCTAGTGTTTACATTATGTACATCAGTATTCTTTAAGTAAGTAAGGTTCAGCGTTAGGTACAATTAAATGTAAGACGAGTGTTTAAAAATGTAATTTCCTTTCAATATCAATTCAATGTACGCAAATCAATGTTCGCAATTTCTCATTCGTAACAACTCAATAGTCGATCCGAATTAGGGTGGAAGGCGTCACGCGATGCATAGCTGTTTAGTTCATGTTATCACAAATGTTGTTCGCTATTTTTGCGGAATATTTTATATGTTGCGAACAGCATGTCTGTAGCGTTAAAACAGCAACTGATTTCTTAATAAAATTTGAAAACACGACTTTTACGACGACTCTTCGAGGTATCTCCTGCCTGTCGCAAAAGCCGACTAAAAAGGGAGAAGGATTAGCAGCAGCTCGACGTGGCATTGAGCTGCTGCAAGATGGTGAGGGAATTGGGAAAGTTTACACTTCTCCGAGGTGTGCTCACGCCCAATACCGAGAAACACCGGTGCGTTCCATAGGAGATCTCGGGGTCCCTCCAAACAAACAGAAGGTGGCCACCGAGGGGATTTTAGTGGGTAAGAACCCCACATAACCCTGTCATGTAAGATGACAGGGTATCTTTTGAAGATTTGCCCCCGATACCAAAAAGAAATAAGTACAGTTCACATTTTTAAGTCGAATACCATAATAGAAAAAAATAATAGATTATTAGACAAAAGCACGAGTTTCTTGACGTAATATAAGTAAGTTTCGGAACATCTAGTTTGACTCTGAACGACCCAAGTACATACATAATGTTTTAACATGATTTTGTGAACCGTACCTTTTAAGATTTTATGTTCGATTTGGCATCTTGAACACGGTAGCTTTGATTTCGGAACTTGAAGTGACATCTTTCCTTACCATGTATCTCGGACGACTATGACTTTTTAATTACTTTCAATTCCCACGTGACTTTATTTTCCAATTCAATCATCTACCGATCTGTTTGTTTTTGCTATGTATGCGTAGGGATTTAGAACGGACTGAAACTTATTTAATATAAAGAATTGGCGTATTTACATGGGACATCATATTTAAGTTCGTACGAAAACTGATGGAAAAATTTACTACACTTTCCTCTTATATGTCAAAAAGTAACAGAGACTTAGACTGGTGTAGTTTTTATCACAGCTTATTCCCTAAGAATTCTTTTCGTGTTTTATTTTAAACATATACATATTCAAACAAAACTAAGGAAAGTAACTACAGACAGAGAGACAGTTTAAATTAAATTTAGATATTGATCTATCTGTTTTGTGTTTTGTTTTTCATAAGTTGCTCTTCATCCCACAAGGCAAATAAAATGTTTTTCTCCATTATGGTAAATGACCACGAATCCAGTAATAATAACCATGTTTTTATTCACTAGAAAAATGTTTATTTGTTCTGCTCTTTCTCTTATTCTTTTTTTGTATTTTAAATTAGTCTTGTACAAGGCAATATTGATGCTCTTTTAGCTGTGTTTTACTTGGCGTGTAGCAAGCAGTTGTGAAGTCGAATGAAGAACACACGTGAATACTAGTCTGCACCTTCAACGGTAAGATAGAATTTTACTGCAATGAATGTTACTTACGAACTTGTGTATTAATTTAATAAGTGATTATTATAAAGAATCATAGCAAAAAAAAGTTTCCGTAAAACATTTTTATTTTAAAATCAGTT